TTTTCTTGAAGCTAGAATATTTTTATCTTCAAGCAATAAAATCAACATTGACTATTGATTCAATTTTTTTTCAAGAAAATTTAATCAAGTGTATCTTTTTAATTATTTTGTTCATAATATCAAAAATACTCCTTTTAAGTCTACATATAACAATAAAGATATAGTTAAAAGATGCTTAAAAATGACAAAAGAACAATGTGGATGCCTATTGTAAGGAATAACTACAATTTAACATGGGTGATAAGATATGATTATTTTATCGCAATATTAAGGCTATTTGTCTTTACAACAAGTTGGACTATTATAAGATTGGAACTTTTTTTGTTTGTAAACAAGTCAATCTTATTATTTATCAATTATATCTATCAAAGTCTATGAAGATCTATTTTGTATTCTATATGTTTTTTCTTGAGCCATATAAGATAGTAAATATCTTGAGAATAAGACAAATGCGACCTTCTTCTATAGAAGTGAATAATAATCAAGAACTCAAGATGGAAGAAGTATTAGATTCAAGGCGGCACTAAAATAGATTTGAATATCTTATTCATTAGTATAGATATGATATTAATAAATATACATAGGAATAAGCAAAGAATCATATAAATGTAATAAAAAAGATTGAAGCTTTTTATTGATGATATCTATAAAAATCAAGATGAAGAATAGAAAATATTTGTTATAAAAAAAATAAGTTATAAAGAAGAAGGGCCTGAAGCCATATTTGACCAGATGTCCTAAAAGGCCTTGACCAATCTTATTTATACTTTGTTCTACCACCCTAGATTTTCTAGAATGTTTATAAGCGATAGATCTCATTTAAATAACCACCTTAAACTCCTTCTAGAAGGATCCATTGTAGGCTCCATCTACATAACTACCCTAAACTCTTTTTAAAATATTTCACAATAGATTCTACCTGATCTATCAACCTAACTCCAATTCTAGAAACTTCCATGGTTTTAACTATCTATTCTTATGTGTCAATAATACAAATATCTTATCTATATTATATTACAATCAACAACTAACAGATTTAACTGAAGAACTATCAATTACTGAATTATCAGACGAGACATTGTAATTGTCACAACCTTCAAGATAGCATAATTAAGATGAAGATCCTTAAGAACAACATGTCCTTACTCAAATAGATAACAAGATAAAATGTATTTAGTATTACAACCTTAGAAGAGATTTTCAATTTTTGATGATTTTATTAGTGATAGAAATGACTCTTGATGGTGTTACAAATGTTTTATTTGAAGGAAGTTATATAGACTTTAACAAAAATTAAATAATAAGGTGGTCTTCTTGGCTTGATATAAGACACAATCAATAGTTGAGAAGATCTATCAACCATCTTCAAAGACAATAAAGCTTACGATATGTTACAAATACAATTCACCACATCTTAGATTTTTTCAATATATGATGACCGTTCCTTGTGGAATTCATTCCTAAAAGAGAAGGAGAGAGGGAGGAGGATAATGTCACTAACATACATATTTATTCCAATAATTACCTATATAATTAATTAGAAGTAGATAAAAATAAATTAATTTCATAATATTTTTTTAAAAATCTTCCTAGAAGTTTCATAGATGTTGCTTTGACTTTACATGTGTTTGTAGTTAATTAGTAGCCTAAAAACTTAGTCAACAAATTAGCCACGTATAACATACATTATTAGCTTGTAGAACAAGCTAATTTTGTAGTCCACATATAAATAACTTACCTTGCAAGTTAAAACATGTATTTAGCAAAGTTAATACATGTTGGAAGTCTTATAGCATATTGTTACATAGCTCCTACTTAAAGAGTATATATGGAGGCAAGAGTGAAGCCTTCTTTACTCTTGTCAATGCTTTTCTAGTTATTAATCTTATTTCAAGACTTTCTAGTCTTCTTGTCTTTGGTAATAACCATTCTAGTTCAATATATTACCATCTTTGAATGATTTTTTAGTCTTTTGAAGTGACACAAGAGTATATTGAGTTTTTTTTTTTTTTTTGAGATTCATATCTTCGATATAATTTTAATCTTAACCAAACAGTTCATTTAAAGGTTATTAAATTTCAAAGTATTGAAATCTTCATAATTAGAATATAAAGAACTAATGAAGGTTTCTAAGATTTGCAACAATTTACTAATTGGATTAAAATAAAGTATTTCATACTAACAGTAGACTTTATTTTTAACAATTATTAAAAGTTTAAAAGCTATTGGACAATAAAATCAAGAGATATTAGCATTAAGAGATTGGCATTAAGGTTGGAGAAGAATACACACCAACACCTAACTAAATTATGAAATTTATCTTTTATTTGGTACAGTTCAATCTTCTTCAAATTAGGATTTAGTTAAGGATTTAGGATTCGATTGGTCTTTGATTTAGGATTTAGGATTTAGAATTTAATTAGGATTTAATTATAATTTAATTAATTTTTTATTTATGATATTTTTAAGGATTTTTTAGAAATTGTTAGAATTTTTTTATATTTCTTTTATAATTTCTTTAAAACTTATTTTGGATTTGATTAAGGTTTGATTAGGATTGTTAAATTTTTATTGGAATTTATTTAGAATTCTATTAGAATTCTTATAACCTTGTTGTTGCAATTTCCAATTTACCTTCCATATTCAAGTGCCTAATGCATTTTCAAGGAATACTTTATATTACAACAATGGCAAACTCTCCGGTAGAGTCAGAACAGTGGACTGAGTCTTCGTATGTTGCCCCGTATTTGTCACTGTCGCCACCAGCTCCCGCTCGATCAGGTTTTTGGCCTTCTTCACATCAGCCGTTCCTCGTTTCAACTCCGAGCTGGAGAGCTGCACAGGAGATGCTTCATTCTGGCCTTCAGCAACTCCTAACATGAAGGCTTCTCCACCATTGTAATTGTTTAAGCCCGAAGTACCTAAACCCTAAATTTCAAAAAAAGAAATTATTTCTGCCCCACTCAACCCCAGATCGCTAACCTACTTACAAAGATAGCTGATAGAACGTCCACCGATTGTGCACGCCTAGAGGAAAATTGGGTCTAAAACCTACTTGGTTGCGAAGGATCTATGATCCGCCCCGAACGAGCTCCTCACAGACGAGAGAGTGCTTCCTGAGCTTCATTGCAACCTCTCAAATCCCTTTAGGCACGCGGTTTTAGCGATGTACTCACAGAGCTGGAGGGCATGTGAAGTTACCTCAGGTTATAAATTCATTTACGTGCACCCACTAACAGAATGAGAAGTCACACCAGCTTAGTTGTGTAAATTTTGTTGTTGTTACCGGACCCCATTGTATGCAAGGAACGCATTATCGAAATGAAGTTGACGGACTTCAACGAACCCCCGATAAACCGACCAAAGGCAAAGACTGCTCTACGGGCAGAATCAACAAGCTCAATTCATGAGCTCGATTGAACCAGCCGAACTTCCCTGCAGGTCAGTCACACAGCTCCTCGACACTGACAGAGAATGGCGAGTATTATTGAGCTGGCTACGTTCTTCCTAATGAGCCCTCTCTCTACGCGCCGATCAAAGTTACGTGCAAGCTTTCCGCGTGGTGACAAGTGAATCCTATTTGCAGCCCTTATCAATCCTAAGCTTATATGAAAGATGTAAAGCTGCAGAACGTTGCATAGACTTTCAACTCACCGACCTTGTATCTCTCTGTTTCGGCTGATGTGCGTGGGAATTACTCAAATTATTGCGATTACAGATACAATAACCGCACGATTCATATGAAACACCACGGCGATCAAATGGGCATGGTGGAGCTCGGCACTGGCTATCATTCGCTCATAGAAAACCGATAACTTCCCGGTTGTTGTCACCATGGAGGCAATTAGACTTGAGGTGAACAGCCTGCAAGATCTTTCCTCTAACGTCGTTACAACCTTAAACTTGGACTCTGTTCTAAAAGGGTTCGTTAATCTGGCCAAAACTTTCAGGTGTGTGACTGGCACTATCAACTGTACTGCAGATGTCTTCATCAGCAACTAGATATTGAAACAGAATGCGTGCAAGCACAACATTATACCGTGATACGTTGTAATACGTTGTATGACAATCGTTAGATTCAGTATTAATTGTACCTGTCCTAACTGCCACCTTCTGATGCAACTCTCGCTACGAATAAAAGGAGCAAAAGTGAACTGGCCATGGCATACATTCAGGTTCCATAACCCCCTTGCCGAGCAATGGCATGGTTTGGTCATGGATATATTGTTTTGACGAAACCATGAATAATTTGAGGCCATTGGCATGAAGCATTTGGCGGTTAGATAATGTTTTGCACATGCATGAGATCTCAAACTAACTTGAAACATAGCGATGACTCTGTAATATTTATGATTCCTACATGGTTGTGGAATTCTCTTTAATGAGCTGAATGCTAGAAACGTTTTGTGCAATATCTGCCTCTGCCGTCGACGATATACTGAATGGGGTTCTTTGGAGGTGATGCATTGCCTTCATGTTTCTTAGCATCTGACTTGCAAGCGTCGAGAATGAAGGGAGCAGAAGTGGAAAAGCACACCCTGGATGGACTAGCATGTAAATGAAAGAGGCTATCTAGATAGTACTCAGCCGTCTCCTCAGATTCGTACTCATATTTGAAGGGGGTGGCTATGAAATTGTTTATTATGCAATTGTAGTGACCTAAGCGAGAGACGCAAATTCGGGCAAAACAATCAAGTTCATTCCAGATGATGTACTTATGCAACACGAGACGGGATTAAATCTACGTCGGTTTAGACAACCTCGCAATCACAAATCTCACCTGGTCTCATGCGATAATGTTGACGTCAATTTAAAAGAGCTCAATTTTGTGCGACTATTTTGTATTACCAGGTAGGGAACAGATACGGTGTGATGCAGAATTCTCAGCACGCATGAGCAAGAACAGTGAAGTGGGATCACTTCATTGCAACATCTCAAATGAGATATTTTCAAATATTTCCTAAACTCATCATGATCACTGCACAAGGCACGGTAAGGCATTAATAATAATCACTCTCTGCATACTTATTCAGTAATTTGGTGCAGGGCTTCAGTTATTCAGAACCCAGAACTTGCACAATCTGTGATAAACTCCCGGAAATGTACTCAAGATACTGATTTCAATTATGTGATTACTAACAGGTCCTGTGGACATCAAAGAGTCTCTCTTCCTCATAACGCGGAAAAAAGGCTGGTTTTTTACCAAATCCTAATGTGTATTTCCTGGTAGGCCTTTCTATCACTTCTTTTTTGGTAGAGCATTCGAGATCAAGACTTGGAGTACCCCACTGAGCTTACAAACCTGTTGTCGGTCATTTTGAGAACATGCTAGTACCCTGATAGTTTTGTTGCAACTCTTCCCCTTGGGCAGCACCTAAGCAGCATATCGTCATCATCACTGCCCCACGGGTCGACTTCAGAGTTTTCCACGCGATTCTCCGGTAGTGGAGCACGTCCAAGAGAAACACCGTTGGATCGACAGCGACTGAATTGCAGCAGCTTCGATTCTTGCATACTATTGCTTGGGCATTTCGTCAGAGAATATGCTCGAGTATTTCTTCTTGGAGGCGATTTACTCTTCTTACAATTACCCCTCTGCCGTGGTGGGGTTTCTGAACTGCTTGTCGTGCTATCGCTATCTTCTGATGTGTGTGCCAGCCTTCCTTGAGGTCGACCTCTTTGCAAAGCTTTTCTCTTCACTTTTCGCTTCTGTTTGCGTATTTTTGTTCTTCTAATAGGTGGGGTGTCGTCAGACTCGCAGCTGGAGGTCGAGCTACACCTACAATCATCTTGCTGCGTCGACTGGATGTAGCTCTTCATGATCTGAAAACTTAGTAAATTAAGCAGCCTGAAAGAGATATTTACAGCGAACATAGAAATTTTATTCTTGGTGTTTTAATTCTAGGTCTAACCTTGTCTTCACCTTTACAATCAGTGATGCAGGAATGAGGACGAGAATGAGCATGCGCTTGGGCTTGAGCGTAGACTGCGTTCCAATTCTCAAAGCCCATTTCTGTGTGATTTCTGAGTTCCCTTCGAGGCAGACGTCTCTTCCCACTACAGGAGGCGGGGGCTTCCTGTTTTCCAATCAGATTGCTCATATCAGTCTAGGTGAAATCAATTGCTTTCCTCGTTGCAAAAATACATATGGACTGGTTGATTTTTAGGCACTTTATGAGGTGATCTATAACCCCAAGGAATTTAAAACAAAAAATAAGTGTGGGAAGAGAATGCAGAAGTTCTAACTTCTAAAGAGTTTAGCCGCCGCGATGGTGAAGAATGTCCCAACGGTGCGCATTGAGTACCAGGATAAGCTGCACAAGCTCTTTCTTTCCCCCACAAAGCTTGTGCACAAATGGGTGTCCTGTCACTGCATGTTTCGTAAAAGATGTAGTCAACCAAAAGTATCCTTCAGATTAATAGCTTGCTTGTGCCCAGGATCTACATTAACCCTCCGATGATTAATGGTCATAATCTAGAAAGAGTAGGGGGAACGAAGCTGAACAGTTTTGACCTAACGTCAGCCATAGGTGGATTGATTGTCAGATTCTCAACTTTCCCCTGAAGATGACAAATATCCATTATTCCCTCATCATTCTGCAACAACCACTGCCTTTGATGTTATTCATTGCCTGACATACTCATTTCCTTCTTAACATCTCTCTTTTGACATTGAGAACCATGAGGTGTGTACAAGGTGATGATAATCCTCGATGAGGAGGCTGGACCTACTTCCGACTGAAACGTCTGACATTCCTTTGCGTGCCCCGAGGTAGGCCCAGAAGCCAATTCTCGTGTTCTCTCTACCCATTCTTTTCCCAGCTCCGAAGTAAGCCGTTGGTTTGCCTTCATGTTCATCGCCAAGTGCAATCCATCCCTGATATTAGAGCAGAATACCAGATACTTCTGACACGCTTGTGACATGGATGATCAAGACTATTTACAATAATTTAATTTGAAGGTGAAACTAGCTCAATGTCACACCTGAAGAAGATTGATGACTTGTTTCTCCAGGTTCTCAATCTTGGTCTCCAAGTGGTCAAGCCTCTGCTGCAATACCATACACTAAGCTCACGAGTATCTTTCGAAAAAGTTTTTGTTCTTGCATTAAACTCAACGAGATTAGTTTGACCGAGTACCTCTTGTTTACATTGAGCTGGGTCAGCTCTCTCCTCCACGGTTTTCCTCGTTATTTGTTCCTGTCTCTGCCCCAGCTAAAAATCTCTGGCATCTAGTTAGTATGTTTTGAATGAGCGTATACTCATGTTGGAAAATTCGAGGCAGGTAATCAACCAAGAGGTAACGATGGTCACCTGTGCCTGGAGCATGGCAATTTGGCCTTCCGCCTCCCGGATCTGAACAATGCTGTTACGCAACTCGTCCTCAAGTGCTTTGACCTGTAAATTTGAGATTTGCCTAAATTTTTTGTGACATTTGGATGGTTGCCAATGAAAAACATAATCTCTGTGGTCAGGAATGTGTTCAATATGAAATTGTTTTATGCAAAATGATTCTAACATTCTCTTAGATCCTCTGTGCGAAGATGAATTGAACCTGTTTCATTGCTGCCAACTCAGCACATAGAAGTTTTTTCTGCATACCCACATAGTGACCAAAGTTGAGAATGGATGGAAATCTCTCTTCCGTTCCTGCTTTCACTCTTACATATTCCCCCGAAGAAATTATAAGGGTTACAAGAGACAACCTACATTTCTGTTTCTTTTTCTGTTATTACAATGACATAATCGTCTGTGATTTGGATACCCACTTCTGGAATCACTTGAATTTCCCGGAGTTTTACTTGTATGGAACCACCAATCATGCTTCATCCCAACACAGCTCCCTTAATTTAACACAGCACATTGTATTCTCAAAATCACCTAACACGAGACAAATATCTTAAGGGTTTCAAAGTACTTGATCATGGGCAGCAGCTTGTGAAACTCTGGACGCCAATTCCACCAATGTGTGCCCAGCCACTTTGGGGCCATGCTTTGCGACCTTATGCATATCCTACAAGGTAGTCATCTCCCAAGTCTTGTAACTGCCTCTCAACAGCAAGATATTCAAGAGCCAATCAAACGAGCAAATCAGTGAAATTACTGATCAGTCCAAATTTGAGCTTTACCAAGTATTTTGCTTCTGCAAAGATCTTCACACAAAATGGACACTGCCAGACCTGTCAGAAGAGAATTTCTGGATTATGACAACTTAATCAGCACCAATTTCCAGATTCAATATGACCCCATCAACCTATTTCCCACCCCTCAATCGAGTTTTCATTGAAGAAATTTACCCATTGGTAGGGAAGAGGAAGGGTGGCATGCAGGAGCAGTAAAGAATGTTGTACCTCCTGAACTGGAAAGTCTTTGTCAATCATCACCACTCCATTGACCTGCGGATTTTGCATTGGCAGACCCCTGCAGAATCGTTCCCTTGCAACCGCAACCCTACTTTCCCGAAATCAATATAACTCTCTCATCGGCACGCTTGGCAGTACAGGTTTGTCTTCGAATCTCAACCTAAACTCCAGAAATCATTGACAGGCTCTGGACCCTTCTCCATTGTGGCCATGCGATGCTGTATTTTTATTCCGTGTAACAGAGAATGTTACATTCTATTTTATCTCAAGAAGTGAGAAGAAAACCAAATGCTCATTCTGTGGCAAAACAAGACAGTGAAGAATGCCACGAAGCCCTGTCAATTACAGAAGGTCTACGCTGAGCTGGTAGTGACAGCACTGCTGGCTCATTGCCATTACTCTCAGATGGGTTCCGCTGGAGACATTGTCGAACTTCGAATCAAGCTTGAATACTTAACATGGAGTGACAATACTCTACACACGCATACCCCCACACGCACACACACACACATATATATATATATATATATATATAAATGCGCTAGGAAATTAGTTTAGGGTTTTCTATGAAGGAGTCGGTCAGACAGCCATTCTTATACTGAAAATGTCACTGCTTATTTGTATTGGATTTGTGCTGGTTGCTAGCTTAAAAAAGTATAAGTTTTTCTGCGCTGAGAGATGCAGTTTCGCAGCAGTAATTTCACTGATTTTCTGCTTGGTCTAGGTAGGTGAAAATGAATGCATGGCTGTATGTGAAAAGAATGGTTGCTGGATTTAATTAAGGATGTGTTGGGCGTTAGAAGTCAGTCTCTGAAAGTAATGGTAATTAAAGAATAAGAATCTAGTTGCTCTTTAAAACTGGAAAAACTGCTGAGCTTGAAGAAAAAGATTTACGGAAATGCTGTCATCCTAACAAAAAAACAATCTCCTTTAAAAAGCTGAAGGAGAGGTAAAACTAGTGAATGGGATTGAGGTGGAATAAGGAAGAAAATAAAAATCGAGCCTTTTATCTATATTTTTATGATTTTTTTTTCTCCCCATTACTGTGTTGTAAATGTATTGCTAAGATTTTTTTTATCATCTCATTTAGGAAAAAAAAAAAAAAAAAAAAAATGGTTTGAATAAGTATCAAACACCAACATGTTTAAAATACATAAAACAGTGTAATTGCATGACATGTGTGTGTGTGTGTGTGTGTGTGTGTATATATATATATATATATATATATATATAAGTAAATTTTCTATAATTTTTTTAGTCCCTAAAAAACTTCATAACTCATGTGACTGCATTTTTTTTTTTTTTTTTTTCATTTTATATGTAACTACTAAAGATATTAAGCACATAAATAGTTTTTGTGAACTTGTAATAATACCCTCTCAATTCCCATACATCTTAGAGACCCTTTGCACTAAGGGGACAAGGGAAGAGGTTCTCAAAATTTAAATGTTTTGATTTGTTGAAATAAATTTGCTGAAATAATGTTTTTGAGTTGACTTTACACTAAGAAAAATAAGTCTAAAACCCCTAAGATGAAAAAAATGAGGTGGAATGCACTTTTCCATATGGAATGCATGGTACAAATAGTTTTTTCCCTCAAAATTTCTGTTGGACCCATCTCAAAGAGGTGGTTTTTAAGACATCCAAGAAGCAATGTCAAAAAATGCTAAAAATAAGGATAAAAAAAATTAGAAAATCAAGTTTTTAAAACTTCTCAAAATTATTTGAATCAAGATATGGACTAACACATTTAGACTTGTAATAAATAATGTTTTAGTTCATTTTGCAGCCACTTCTCACTTTATATTATATCCAAAGGAATTTGTTTTGAAAGAATGACTGTTTTTTTCACCAAGCAAGAAACTTTAGTAAGACTTTTAAACCACGGCCTCTCAAAATGAACTTTCAGGTATACAAGACCTTATATGAACAAAACTCTACACTCTAATTGATGCACCAAATTTCTCATTTCATTCAAATACACACAAATATATATATATATATATATATATATATAAAGATAAAGATAATGATTGGCTTAGTAAGCTCTCAAGGAGGAAGGGAAAGGTAGAAGGGTCTAGAAGGTTCCCTTCCAATTCAAAGGCCCCACCTCAAATGGGGCGTCACGTTGCGAATCCCTTCGCCATGGTAAGCCATGGCGCCGCCGGCACGCCGTCGCTGCAATAACTGAAGAAGACTGTGACGCTGCCCAATCTCATCCCGCACCGCGCCTCGCAGCCTACTGGCTACGCCACGACTCGGTCAGATTGCCCAAGACCCTGCTCGAGCTCGCGTCGGTGGCACCAGATCCCCACCGTGCTGAATTGCTTGCGTCTCGCTTTAGCCTCCTTTCAGCGCTCCTCCTTGGTGCATTCCCATAACACTGAGTTGGAGGTTTGAAGAATTCGTTGTGGTTTTGTTGCTGTTGTTGGGCTTGTGGGTTGGAATGATGTGGATGACTGAGGAATGTGGTGGGTGTTGTGTGTTCAGCTCAGCAATTGTGGATTTCGATCGGAGTTTGTAGTTGGCGCTCGAGGAGGTGATCATGGGGTAGTTTGGATGCGCGCGCGCAAGGATGGTAGTGCGAGTTCGTAGTGGTGGTGAACGTGTGCCTGAAAGGCGAGGGCATTGGGAATTTTCGTCTGAAGGAGGAGGAGACTGGGTGATCAGCGTGGCTCTTGTCCTAACTGTTGCGGTAGAATTCCTGAACTAGATGTTACATTTTGAATTCTTAAGTTTCTTTGATGTTTCTTTTTTTTCGTTTGTTCTTTCCTCCCAAGTGTTTCTTTCTTTGGGGGAGTCCTGGTTTTTGATGGCAGTGTTGGTTTGAGGAGTTGGACTTTGTATAGTCGAATTGCAGTTGGACTGTCCATACTCAATGTTGAGTTAAAGGCGAGTTTTTATTTGAGGCGTCATGCACATTGTAGGCTATGCGAAGCTGCTGCTTGGTTGCAAGGACATGGCATAATTCGTGGGCCTGTCGCTTCTTTTCGCGCCAAATGGATCAATGCAAGGATGTTTTGGATGGTTGATTGAGTGTTGGTCTATAACTTATTGCTCACGATGTGCATGGGTGATTGTTTGAAGTAAATTAAGCACTCGCAGTTCACCTGCATGGCGTAGCCAATTGAGAGCATATGGTGGGAATCTTCTGTTGGGAGTGCGATGGCGAAGTTCAAAGTGCACATCGGCAAGATTCCGCGCTCGATTACAGCGCGGGAGCTCGTGGACGTGCTGGAGAGAGCTGTGGGTAAGGGGACAGTCACCGTGGTGGACATAAAGACCGACCACCGAACCTGTGAGTCCAAGGGATTTGGCTTCGTGACGTTTAACACCGAGAAGGCGGCGGAGAGAGCTGCCTTGCTTGGGGAGAATGGCCACTTGGTTTTACTTAACAGCCGGCTCCAAGTGAGCATTGCCGATCGTGAGATCATTAAAAGGCCTCGCCATTCCGCGACTACTTGGGAGGATGTACTACATCTACTCTAATCTACCCGCTAATGATACCACATTGTGTGAAAGCAGTTTTTCCCTGCATTTGCTCGAAGGACTTGTTATCAAATGATCATTCTGGATGACATGAGTGTAATAGTACGTTGATAGTGGTGGGTGTGTTTTGTTCTCTGTCAGGGCAGAAAGACCTATGCTCTATGCTCTCTGAGACACTAGCGAGTTGGCAGTGGTCATCAAGATCCAATGTGACTTCGGATTTCAACTTCGACAACCATAAAGTGCACTTTGTATTTGATGTAACGAACAATTTAGAAAAGCGGCACTACAAAATGGAGAGCAATTTTGAAGAGCTTGATGCTGTTAAGATTGTTGCTGTGCGGGGAGCTTCTACAAGAGCCTTGTTGCTGCAGGTGAGTTCCAATGGCTTCATTCTTTCTCAAAGCTTCTCAACGTAGACTGCCTGAATCCCGTTGTCCAAATTACAAGTATTCAGCTGTCTCTAAATATATATTTTCGAGGCTGATTCACATCTTTTGGTGCAGCTGAGAACTCCACCATACCTTTATGTGCAAAGAGCCAGTAAGTGTAGATCCAGAGAAACTATATTAGACATGATTATAGGTACACCATCATTGGATCCTCACTATGTCCACACCGAGGAAGAGGAGGGGTTGTGGGTTCGAACAGTTGATTATACGCCAAAAAGAAGCATTGGCCAGTGTCTGAGTTATTTACTGAAGATTTCTAACACCAAGACCGGTGACGACATGAACGATCTGTTTAAAAAACTTGCAGAGTTTCATTTGGCGGCATATCCCCCTGTAATTCAACAAATTTCTCTTCAGAAGGGTGCGCCATTTGCCTCTTCTCAGGTTCTTGTGCCAATTGTCGATGCACCCCCAGAGAAGAAGGTCAACTTTGAGCTTATGTTCCAGGTGAACCAGCTTCTGCAAACCTCGAAGCTAATTGGTGAAACTCTTGACTCTCGCTTTTATCATTTGCTACAACCAGATGTAACCCCCCACGAGCAAGCTAAATTAGTTCTGGAGAGGCTGGGGAAAAGGGTTGGTCCTTGCTGGGACCCTGTGAAGGAGATTCAGGAAGAGCTTGGGAACATGAAAGAGACCTTGTCTTCTCCAAGATCTGTTTCTATCAAACTCGCTTCAGGCATGACCTGGGTACGGAGGGTACTTGTAACTCCTACTAAAGTTTATTGTACAGGGCCAGAGGTTGACACCTCTAACCGCGTCACAAGGCAGTTTGCTAGCCACTCGGATCGTTTCATGAGAATGTCATTTGTAGATGAGAATCTAGAGCCACTATCGTCAGTGGCCCTGTCAGTGCCAAGAAGAGGAGGAGCTCAAGACGGGGTGGATGCTGAAAGATCACTTTTGTACAATAGAGTCCTGAAAACGTTGAAGGAGGGCATTGTAATAGGAGACCACAAGTTTGAGTTTCTTGCCTTCTCTTCGAGCCAGTTAAGGGAGCACTCTGTTTGGATGTTCGCGTCTTATGCACAGCTTACAGCCACAATGATCAGGGCATGGATGGGAGACTTTCTCACTATCCGCAATGTGGCCAAGTGCGCTGCTCGGATGGGACAATGCTTCTCCTCCTCAAAACCAACTCTAGAAGTACCCGAGCAAGAGGTAGAGCAGATTCCTGATATCGAGAGGGAAGATGAGTTTGGTATGTCCAAGTACTGTTTCTCGGATGGCATTGGGAAAATTTCTAAAGAGTTTGCTAAAGAGGTTGCGAAGAGGCTCCAGATGGAGGTTGTACCATCCGCCTTCCAGATACGTTATGGAGGATACAAGGGTGTGGTGGCAGTTGATCCTCACTCTGATTTCAAGATTTCTCTTCGCCCTAGTATGCGAAAGTTCGCTTCAAAACATGTTGGACTTGATATTCTCGCCTCTTCCCGATTTCTGCCGTCCTACTTAAATCGGCAGATCATACTGCTTCTGTCTACACTTGGAATAGAAGATTCTGTGTTTGAGCAGATGCAACATCGTATGGTCTCCGAGCTGAATGATATGTTGAAGGATGGGGATGTTGCACGAGATATGCTGCAGGTCCAGGAATTCCCGCACTTTCTTGAAGCTTCTTGGGTTTTCTGCAAATCTTGTTTGGATGATTGCCCATTTTTTGCAATTTAAAATGGCTCTCTGGTTTAGAACAGTTGCTAACAGCTCTTGCAACCTTGCAGCAGTTGTTTAAAGAGTGTTCTTGGTGGGCTACAGATCAATCATGCAGGAGAAATGCATACAAGATTGATAGATATGCTCGCAGCGGGTTATCAACCTCAGACTGAACCCTTCGTTAAGATGCTGCTAGAAGCGTTTCGAGCATCTCAGCTCGTTGATTTGCGCAAACGATCCCGTATCCTTGAACCGAAGGGGAGAGTCCTCATGGGATGCCTTGATGAAACGAAATCCCTCTCTTACGGTGAAATATTTTTGCAAGTCACTCCAGCTCTTGGTCGCAGGAAGGGTCTCAGAGATGGGCTAGAAACCTTTGACAGCTATCCTATAGGTTCTGCGGCGAACCAGAATATCGCATATGTGGTGACTGGATGGGTTATTGTTGCGAAAAATCCATGTTTGCATCCAGGTGATATTCGAAAACTCAAAGCTGTTGATGGTCCTGGGCTCCGGCACATGGTTGACTGCTTGGTTTTCCCGCAAAAGGGCCACAGGTAAATTCGTCAAGGCTCTTACCTTTCTTTCTCTTTCTGTTTATATTCTGTCAGCCGTGTCGCGCTTGAGCTTCAATATCCAAGACGATGAATTGTTTTCCTTCATTATTACTAGCCATCGATGTATAGGTTTCTTGCATGTCTTGGTTCTTGTCTCCATGTTGCCTTTGTCTCTAGACGGCTATTTGCTGCGTAAAGCTGAAAGTGGTTATTGAACTTGCAGACCACATCCAAATGAGTGCTCAGGAAGTGATTTAGATGGTGACCTATATTTCGTGAGCTGGGATGAGGACCTGATTCCACTCAATACTGATGAACCTATGGATTATACTTCTCCAGGAGCCATGACTCTGGATCATCACGTCACAATTGAGGCACACCTTTTGCTCTAATGCTTTTCCTGTACTTAGGCCTGTTTTTAAACTTTCCTGGATCCCAATTGGTTGGGAGATCATACTTGATTTAATCGCGACTTAACGGTGTTCGGTTGTATGCAGGAAATTCAAGAGTTTTTTGTGAAGTACATGGTAACTGACAGCCTGGGTGTAATCTCTAATGCACATGTCGTTAACGCTGACATTGAGCCAGCGATGGCACGCAGCACCGCCTGCCAAGAGCTTGCAAAGCTCGTATCTCTTGCTGTTGATTTCCCAAAAACAGGAGTTCCCGCGATTATTCCCCAGAACTTACGGCCAACCAAATATCCAGACTTTATGGAAAAAGGCGACAAAGAGACCTATAAATCAGAACGCGTGCTTGGTAAACTCTTCCGGCAAGTGAAGGACGCGTCGTTAGAGAAGTTGCCTTGCGAGATACCTAGAGAAGACATTGAACGAGCATTTGATCCAGTAATGGTTATTACAGGTTACGAGGAATTCATTGATATGGCGAAATTCCACAAAAACGAGTACGATCGGAAGCTCATTGGTCTGATGAACCAATATGGGATTGAAACCGAGGCCGAGGCTGTGAGCGGATACATGTTGAACTTGGCACGACAATATGTCAAGCGCCGAGAGGATGTCGTAGAGAGGATTCGGGATGCAGTTAGATCTTTGATCAATGAGGCGCGCCAACGGTTTGACGAGAACGCTGATGATATGGTCGATGATGATATTTATGCTAAAGCATCGGCGTGGTACCATGTCACGTACCATCCTGAACACATCAAGGTTTCTGCGACTGGTAGACGTGAGGTTCACTTGATAAGCTTCCCTTGGGTGATTTATAATGTGCTTCTTCAGATCAAAAAAGCTGGTGGCCGTCCCTGCTAATTAAATTTTGGAGAATCTCAATTTTTTTGAGGATTTTCTTTTGCTTGAGGAGAATGTCAACTTGTACTTACCAAGACTGCTACACAGCGAGGATTTCTGGGGAACTGCGAAAAAGTATGAGGAGGCTCTTTAAACTGATGGAGGCAGCACTAATCTTGACTTAATTATGACCCATTTTAAGAAGTCATTGGAAGATCAGTTTCTACAATTGTATTTATATCGATACGCCAGTGAAACTCAACCCGAAGAGGATTGGAAGAAGAATGGGTATCTTTTGGGTAGAAATATTTCGATCTAGTGCTTATCTTGAACTGTGACTTCCTGGAAGGCAGCTAAGGGAGTGGCTAAGCTAAAATCTTTATATAGAAGTCGAAGAGAGGGACGACTTTTTGTGAAGCCCAAATTTTTCATCTTTTTCTGCAATTCCTTTTTAACAACAGATCGACTTTGTGGCAATTGTGGTGATTTGCAGGGTAACGGGTCTGCCCCATATAGCCTCTTAAACTGTCATGAGTTGCAGTTATAAAGCCAAGCAGGTGAGTATGGGCTTGCCTATAAAAGACATGGAGATGAAGACAGCCACCTGTAAAGTCATATTCCTTCAGGACGCGACCTCTTCATCAGGAGGTCTCTCCTGTTCATTAAAGTGGTGTAACACTTGAGATTGTCCATATCTTGCAGTCTCCACTGTACTTCTTTTTCTGAGACTATAGTTAAACTCTTTTCTTGTGTCTGTTTGGATTGGTTGAGTTGTCGTCCCTAGCAATACGGCTTCTGAGAATCGACCCTAAACCCCCACACTGGAGCATTGGGGGTATGAAAATCAATCCTCAGATCCAAGGAATGGGGGGTGAAAATGTGAAGTCAATGTTTATCCAAATGAAGTAAGTCTGAAAAAACTTCAAGTTGCCTACCAATGTGGTAGCACATGGTCCAAGGCAAGATAACAGTTTGTTACAACAAGTCACATTTGAAAACAGAATGAAAAAGAGTCATGGCCAAAAGAGTGAAGTTTTAAAATAAGTGGATCAAAGGATATATCTGGAGATGATTAGAAAGGTTCAATTGTTAGACCTAACACATTTAAAAATTAAACTGTATTAATCAACATAGCGATCTTAGTTGGCAATTACTGAAGTAGAATTAACAACATCTATAATTGAAATGATTTGGCCTCCTATCCCATTGCTTGAATAGCAAGCTACCAACATGTGTAGGAACTTAACCTTCTATCTTAATTAGACCTATAACAAATGAATCTTTTTGAATAGCATTCATTTATGAAATTAATTTAATAACTTATTTGGAAAAGATTGGTAATACTATCATCTTAATAATCAATAATAATGTATATATAAAAAATATAAAAAAATTCTATTCATCTAATATTGTTGACTTTTTACTTTGATACAAATATAGAATTTATTTTCTACCTAAAATATTTAAGTATTAATTTTTTAATTTCATTAATAGAAACATAGATTACACTTGATACATTGTTTAAAATATTAAAAATTATCTTATCTAATATGAACAATCTAATTAGAAATGATAAAAGTTATGTAACACATTTTGAAGAATATGATTTTTTTATAAAATAATTAGCTCTAAGGTCCCTTATTACCATACATATAGCCATATTTAATTTCAACATATTAAAAAAAGGAAATTAAAAAATTACATCTAAAATAATATGTATGCTGAAAAAATGATTTTTTTTAATTATCTAAAGATGCAAAATATTATACTTTGTGTAGTAGCTTGTAAAATAAGTTAACTTTGTGTAGTAGCTTGTAAAACAAGTTAACTTTGTGTAGTAGCTTGTAAAATAAGCTAACTTTGTGGCATATATGTAGATAACTTGCCTTGTAAGTTAAGACATGTGGCTAGCAAAGTCAACACATGTTGGAAGCTCTATAGAAGATTGCCATGTAACTTCTAGTTAGAGAGTATATATCGAGGCAAGGATGAAGCCTTCTTCACTCTTATTTATGTCTTTCTAGTCTTTAGTCTTGTTTCAAGACTTTCTAGACTTCTTGTTTTTGACAATAGCCATTCTAATTCAATATTATATTATCTTTGAGTGACTTTCTAGTTCCTTTCAGTGATACAAGAGTGTATTGAGGATTTTTTTTTTTAGAGATTCATGTCCTTGATAATTTGATAATAGTACTAACATACTATTTTTGTCTTGTTTTAGAAGTGAGTGGATTATCCTACTTCTATTATTATATTTTAAAGGTTGCGGACTATCCACCTTTACAAAAAAAATCTTATTTTCTAACATTGATTTTTTCTTTAAAGAGAGTGAATTATCCTTCTTTGTAGAAATTTTTATTAGAGATTATAAATTATCCTCTTCTAATTTAACTTTTTGAATTTTTTTGAGTTATCTATAGAAGAAAAAATTGTAGATGCTACTCTTAGTGGAAATGAGAATAGATTTGCAACTATTATAGATCTTCATGAGCTTGTCAACTTTTTAAGAATAGAAATCTCACATATTTCTAATATGAATTATGGAGGTACTATACCTATGTCTATGGAAGAAGTTTAGAGTCTATGACAAGAAGTGATACAATTGAAAGAAGCAAGTAAATTAACCTCACAACCAAATCCAAGGAGTTTTGCTTCTACAAGCATGATGAATATAAGAATTAGTATGCATGAGAAGTTTCATGGAACAAAAACAAAATTTTGAAAATTTTTGCAACAAGTCAAGTTTTATCTAAGGTTCCATCTTTTTCAACACCCTAGTAGATTTACTCAAGTTGGATTTATATGCACACTTCCATTAGGAAGTGCTCTCTCTTAGTTTACACCTTTAATAGAAAAAAATTTGTAACTCTTTTAAGATTTGAATTCAACTATATTTGGAAAAAGTGATTAAGAAAGAATAGTAGAGACCAAGCTCTTATCTCAATGACAAGGATCACAATTAGCCACCATATATGCTGTTGAATTTCAAAACCTTGCTTGTAATGTGGATTGGAATGACAAAGTCCTTATCAATCAATTTTGATATAGATTGAAGGATAATGTCAAAGACTTGTTATTAAAAATATCAAAGACAAAATCATTGGAACAATTTATTTCTCAAGCCATTGCATGTGACAATCAATTATTTGAAAGATGTCAAGAAGAAAAATATTTCTAAAGAGGAATAAATCAAATAATGGCAGCAGTTCTCAAGTTTTCAGAAACTTATTTATTAAGGCCAAAACCATTGCAAATTGATATTACATATTTTAAATACCTCATACAACAAGAATAGAGTCAACAACATCAAGGACTTATGCTTATATTAAAAAAAAGGTAACCACACTGCTCAACATTATTCAAAGAAACAACATAATTATAAAATGAGAAGCATGATTGCCAAAGAAGACTATGTGTCAATAAACGAGTTGTTCTAGCTACAATAGAGATTTTGTGGCTGAAATCATGTACAAAATCTAGTAAAGGTCCTATTCTCTCTTCTAGTCCTTCTCCTTATTTTATAATAGAAGTTTTTTTAGGACCAAAAAATCACAAAGTCTTATCCTTCTTGGATTCAGGAACCTTAGCCTATTTTATAGATGAAGACTTTGTTAAAAAACCAAAATATATCTTTAGTTAAGAAAATCAAACTTGTACATGTAGAAGTAATAGATGGACGTTCATTGTCTTCTAAAGATGTTATACATGAAACTATTTTTTATAGAAATAGCAATTTATGGTCATAATAATTTAATAATATTTAATGTGATTAAATCTCTTTTTAATCTAATTATTTTAGGATTATCGTGATTAGAAAGTTATAACCCTTAGATAGACTAGATTTCTTTCAATCTTGATTTTTCTCATAGTTTAATCTAAGGTTCTGCCAAGCAAGAAGAAATTCATAAGTCTAGTACATCCAAACTTTTATTGATAGGTGCAAGAGCTTTCATGTATGCCACAAATGAAGAGTCATCTTTTGCTATATATGCCACATTTATTGTTAATAGTGAGAAGATATCAAGTAGTATTCCTAAGAAGTATCAAGATTTTTAGGTCGTTTTTGAAAAGAAGAATGCAGATATTCTTGTGGATCATCATTCTTATGATTATACCATCGATCTTCAAGAAAAAACTCAACCACCATTGGAACCAATTTATAGCCTATTACAAAATGAGTTAGTTGTACTCAAAGAGTACATTGATGAAAATTTAGCTAAAAACTTTATATACTATTCTAAATCTCCAACCAGTGCTCATATCTTATTTGTGATAAAAAAAAGATGAATCTTTGTGGATGTGTGTAGATTACCGAGGACTTAATAAGATCACCATCAAGAATAGATATCCTCTATCTTTGATTTCAGGACTTCTTGATCAACTAAATCAAAGAAAAATCTATACAAAAATAGATCTATACTAAACATATAATTTGGTCCGTATCAAAGAAGGAGATGAATGGAAGACTACTTTTCAAACTAAGTATGGATATTTTGAATATAATTTCATTTCTTTTGGACTCACAAATACACCAGCTATTTTTCAACATCTAACAAATGATGTCTTTTATGAGTTTCTCGATGATTTTGTCATATGTTATTTAGATAATATTTTAATCTTTTCTAAAAATAAAGAAGAGCATGAAGTTCATATTCGTCATGTGTTACAAAAACTAAGAGATGTAAGATTATACATGAAGATAAAAAAGTATGTATTTTACATTACTTAAGTTGATTTTTTGAGATACATCATTTTCAATGAAGGCCTTATGGTAGATCCAAAGAAGATCCAAACTATCATAGATTAGAAGATCCCAAGAATAGTAAGAGATGTGAAATGTTTTTTGAGCTTTATAAATTATTATCAAATCTTTATCAAGAACTTTTCTTAAGTTGCAGCTTGACTTGTAAAGAAAAACTTGATTGAAATAAAGAAGCCGAAGCATCATTTGTTATGTGCACCAACTTTTCTATGGCCAAATCTTTGAAGAAGGAATTTACTTCTATACCAACTTTGTATCGCATCAACTTTTGTAAGGCATTCTTTATAGAAACAAATGAATCAGACTTTGCCTTAGATTTTGTATTATCACAAATAAAAATAGATGACAAATTCTATCTAATAGCTTTTCATTCTAGGAAATTTTTAGCATCCAAGTTTAATTATAAGATCTACAATAAAGAACTTCTTACAATTATAGATTCATTTCAAGAATGATATTATTATCTAGAAGGCACTTCAAGTTCAGTCATTGTATATGTAAATCACAAGAACTTTGAGTTTTCATGTTAGCACGTGTTTTGAATTATTGCCAAGTTTGTTATTGTATGTCATTATTAAGATTTGATTTCAAGTTCACGTATCGACCTGAAAAACAACAAAGTTTATCAGACGTTCTTTTTAGATGTTCTTATCTTATACCAAAAGAAGGAGATGTATCTTATACCAAAAGAAGGAGATGTATCAACAAAAAACAATCCTCTTGAAGCCATACTATTTTCATCTTTGAGCAATGAAATCAATATTGATTGTTGATTTGACCTTTATCAAATAAATTCAATCAAGTATGTCCTATAATCTTCTTGTTCATGATATCAAGAATCTTTCTTTTAAGTCTCATGATGTTTCAAAGTTCAAATTCAAGAACAATCTACTATATTTCAAAAGATGCCTATATACTCTAGAAGGAGAAACATATTTACATGATCTTCAAGCACTTCATGATTTTCCAACAACAAG